TGGCACTTATTATAAATATTCCCATGGCATTCCTCTTATCAAGGCTAATAATGAATTTGGCCCCATTAAAAAAAAAGCTAATAGCAACGTACACCTAATGCCAAGTCATTCTTTTGATAATTAGACTGTAAGTGTGAAGTTTTAGTCTCTTGAGAATTGGAGAAGCTTATGGAGGAGAAGCATAAACTATTATAGAAGGAAAAAGTCTTTGGTACCCTTTTATACCAGCCACTAATTCTGGTTATTAGAAACAGGAATTATAAGAAATCTATTTCAGACTACAAAATTTATTCCTTTATTAATTCGATATTCCATGTTTAGTCATTTCTTCAGTATTCTCATCCATACTCATACCTTTTATCAAAGCAGTAATTTCCATAAACAAACTACTACCGTATTGTAGTAAACTTCCCTTTATGGATTGCTTCTGTAGCTTGTTGTCTTAGCTCATCTCACACCTGTGAGATACATCATCTCCTCTCTGCGTAAGCTGAACTTGAGCTTGGCTGTGTTAAGTGGCTCCCCCAGGACAGTCATAAGGGAGCCCGGGTGAGGTTGTGCTAGTCTGTCTCAAAGCGCTCCCACTTGATGAGAATAACGCTGGCTACTGCAAGCCTCCAAGAGAGTTGCAGAGAATTTGGGATGGTTTTCCGTGGTGCTGAATTGGCTGACAGAAGCCCAACTGGAGCATCTTCCCTACCAGCATGAATGTGTTCAGCTCTGCATCCTCCTCTGGTCTAGGGAGGGTCCTAGAGCTGCATGAGGTGCTCTGGGATTCTGTTTAAGTCATTATAGGATTCCCCTTAGGGTACCCTAGGATTCCCCTTAGGGACCCTAGGATTCCCCTTAGGGACCCTCTCTTTAGCAACAGAAGTATTTTCTGTCCTTGAAAAAAAAATTAGCAGAACTGCCAGACTTGATCTACTCTGAGCAATGTATACTGAGAGCTGTCCTACTAAATACACTATTCTACAGACACTGTTAGCATTGGCCAGTTGTTGCTTTTGGACACACGAGCGTGGGAGTTGGGGAACTCTCAGTATTAGAGATAGAGGCTGCTTGTTTAGCAGTCACCTGTCATCCTCTCTCGAGCATGCAATTATCCATTTGTCACCACATTTTGCGGGGAGTTGAACAAGGAAGCTTAAGAAAAATGCTTTCCCCTTGTCTTGATGATAGAGAGCGTTTCTCACCGCTGGTAGCACGGTGGTAACTTTTCATTCCTTCTGGCAGTTTTTAAAGACTTATTTGACTTTGGGGGAACCTGCAGTCTATCTTTAAGTCACAGTTCAAAAGTATAAGACAGAGTTGTTCATTTTCAATTTTGGCTGAAAAGTCTTAACTTTGACCGTGGCACTTCAAAGTTGGGAAAAACTTGACTTTAAAAATGGATGCTGATAGGAGATGGCACATTTAATGACAAATGTATCTACAGAAAGCCGTTAAGATGCAGATTATGCCCCCTGGGGTGGGGGAGGGAGATCAAAACTGCCAATCTATAAAATATACTCGATAGAGGAAGGCGTAGAAGCTATCTTTGCAAGTGCTTTGATTGCAGAGGACAGTATAGCAGCATGTGGCATCATAACCCAGAGCAGACACATCAGCTTGATGACTTTCAAAGCCAGGAATACTGCTGCAGGCAAGGGTACTCCAGTCTGAGAGAATTAAAACATATAGAGACTGTTATTAATTCCATATCTATTTTTGTATAGTCAAATCTGTATGCAAATCCTTAGCATCTCATTTCAGCAGATTAATCTAAAAGTGAGGAGTGTTATGTGAAGAGAATGTAATGATAAAGCTCTGCCAATGAGTGACACTGCTAAAGAAATGTGGGCTGCAACTTGGATGCTTTTTTTTTAATTTAGTTTTTGCACTGAGAAGAAATGGATTTTATTTATATGCTCATTTGTAAATTATTTCAAAGGAGAAAAGCAATAGAACTGATTTCTAGGGCCTTTCCGTTGCAGTCCTGCCTTGGTAAAAGTTATAGCACGAGGCTTTTTAGGCACCTCCTGTGGTTTAACATACTAGAAGTAATCAACCAAATAACTAACTAGGACTTTCATTTTTACTCCCAACTAGTAACCCAATATCTCATTTCCAAACATTATCATGTGCAGGAACATTTGTATGTAAGGATAAGGAATCTAATTACTGAGTGCAGATGAGGAATAAAACTATATTATAAATGCATCTGTGGAAGGTGATAAATAATAATTGAGGAGCGTGAAGACAAATTGTGTGCCCTGCTTGGGAAAGAGGATGTAATAGGTACATTCTAATCTACTGGTTGTACATTTAATCTATAATGGGCAGAATCTGATACTTAGAGCAGTGTAAATATTTTCAAATGATGTCATAAAACAGATAGTTTATGGCAGTAGATATTAATTCTGTCCCATATTTCTAAAACAAGTAGGGAAACTGCCAAAGTCTTGAAATAATGGGTGGGAGCTTTATCTTCTGTTCCCTCTCACTTGGAGAAATGATTATAGGCTAGCTGGACATGAATCTGGTGGTTAAGGCCCAGGTCAAAAGCACTTGGCAACCATTGTGACCCAGAAGACCTGTGAAGCCTCAACAGATTTGGTTATTCTTGCGTAGCTATGCTGAGAGAGAATTATTGGACATTCAGTTTTTAATCAGATAAGAAAAGGAAGTTTGGAAGGAAAAAGAGAACATATCTCTACTTTGACATCCATTTTGATTTTATGTATGCATTTTTATCTCGGCTGAAATGTGTTTTCTCTTCCTTTAATTTCATTTTTTAAATGAGACAATCAATGAGAAATGCAGAGAAGACTTTCTTTGAGGGCAGGAAGCTCATTTCTCTCTGCTCTTTGTGGATTTCCTCTGCAGACAAAGCTTTCATTGATCTTAGCAGAGAAGCTTAAAAAAAAAAAAAAAAGGTGGCCCTCAAGTCAGTAATAGCCATGGTCAACCTGAAAGATACAGCCTCCTCACTGGGGTTGAATGAGACAGTAATGATTGGCCTGAACAGCCTTTCTCACCTTTCTGTATCCATTAGTATTGATTGATTACTCCGGCTCAGTTAAGAACTATATCCTAATCCTCTGGATTCTGAATGACTTGACTCTTGGCCATGGAGCTGGTAATGGAGACCTATTCAAAGTATTTAAATGGTTACAGAGAAAGTTATACTGGACAAAGTTAAATAGAGAAGGAAGATTTATTCAACACTATTGCATCAGGGGAGAGAGACCAAGGTGCAGTCTGAAACCAACTCCTCTGAAAAGCAGGAGACGGGAGGGCTTTCAGACTGGTGTTGAGCTAGTGGAGAAGTATGGAGGGACGCAGAGAGGACCGTGATCGGTGCGAGGTGTAGAGCGGCTCTCTCTGGGCTTGTACATTTTTCCGTCTGTGATTAGACCTTTTATGTTTGCTGATTGGCACCTGTCAAAGTTAGGCTTCTACCTTCCATGGAAACTAGGAGACAGGGGCACTATCTTCTTGATTTCGTTTCAGTGAGATGGCTCCCAGGGCTTTGAGGAAGATACTCCCGGGTTGTAAAACTTGTGAGAAGCTTCTTAAATTATTTATATCTCAAAGAGGTAGAGAATGAATGTAAAATTCCAAGTTCTCTAAAGGAAATGCTTTAAGAAAAGAGAGGTCAGGGTCCTAGACACAGGAAGAAGCCTGTCTAAAGTTTAATCAAACTGTCTTGGGCAGTAATAGCATGTTTTAAATTTTAAAAATCTCAATAGGAAACTACTTTTTAGGGTGGCTCAATTTTAGATCTTTATTGCAAAATTAGCTGCTGCTTTGTGATACTTATTAAAATAAGAATGCTATTCATTTTACCCTAGAACTATGTATAAGGCAATATTTCTAAGATAGATTTTGGGGGAAGTTTTCATATTCCTGTTATTACCTGACATGTAATATCTCCTGGTAATTTCTCACTATGCTCACTTATGCATTCTTTTGTTTTTCCATTTGATTGTAAAAATTAAAGTAGTATCAGCAATTTCTGGGAAAGGGGCTCAGTGTACACTACGAACATGAAAAGAAGTATGAAGACAGATAGGGGTAACTTAGCTAGACATGTGATGGTCTTCTAGTGGTTCTTTAAAAGCAGAAGGTCTTGAGTCTTTTGAATCTAAGCACTTGTCAAGAGGGCTTCAGAAAAGTTGACATTTGTGATTGGCCTGCAGCTCTCTAGATGTGTGCTGTCCCGTGGGGCAGCCTTCAGCCACGCGTGGCTTACTGAACACTGCAAGTGTGGCTAATCTGGATTGAGATGTGCTGTGTCAAATACACCCTGGCTTTTCAAGACTTAGTATGAGAAAAAGAGTATCTTAAAATACCTTATTTTTATATTGATTTCACACTGAAATGATAGTATCTTGGCTATATTGAGTTAAATAACACTTATACTAAGCTTAATTTCACTGTTTCTTTTTACCTTTTAATGTGGCTACTGGAAATTTTTTAATTGCATAGTGACTCACATTCGTGGTTCTTGCTGTATTTTATTGGATGGCACTGGCCCCACATCTCTTGATAAATAAGCAGTGTCTTTTCTTGGATATGGTTCTCCCAAAGAGGTATCAAGATAGCCCTGTGTTAGTGTAAAGAATGTGAGAGCTGTCACACTGCCAATTTAGCCACAGACAAAAATTTTAACTATGTCCCTGGCATAATTGTGAGAGCTGTCTTTGTGTGCTACGTCCATTCCATTCCCTCCCCATGCTTTGCCCCTCATTCTGGCTGTGCAGAGGCTGCTAGAATTGGTGGCCCCCTAGTAATACAGGCATACTTGTTGCTTGCTCTCAACTGGATTGCTTCTGAAATGATTCTTGAAAATGAAACTGCTTCAACAAAAAGCTTCTTAATATGTCATGGGTTCACCACGAGGGTATACAAACAGATCCTCGGCAGTAGCTAATTTCCCTTTAATTGTCTCTCATTCTTATATTGGAATATCCTATTTCTTATTCATGAAAGCTATAACGCATGTTGATCCATTACAGGTGGAGTAACTAACACGGCACAGTATCAGAGCAGACTAATGGTATATGAACCTAACCAGGTAAGAATCATATGAGAAAAGCCCATTACCTTAATGAAAATGAATTTTAAGAGATGTCCACAGTACTAAGTAGTTGTAATGCCAAGTCTGTGCACGCACATGCATCTTGAATTTATATAGAGACAAGGAAGCATCTGGATGAACTGCTTTCTGGTGACATTTTTTTTCCTCCCAGAATTTCAGCTCCTTTAGCTTTACGTTATATACAATGCTCAACTCTTTCAGAGTTTTGCATAATGTAGAAAAAAGGGAAAATATGTTGATGAGTTGCCCCTATTCCCATTATCTCAAGTGACTGTTCCTATTTAGAGGCGTCTGAAGAAAGGGTTTTCAATGTCCTGTTTTATGGCCCGTGTCATTCCAGGTGGGGAATATGCTTATGGTTTCATTATTCCCAAATAAAATAATAACTTTTATTTAGCTCTATATAGCCAAAATGTCCTAGAACATTGTCTGGGAAAAGTCCAAAGCAGAAGCATCTGAAGAGTGTTTTTCATTTAGTAGCTTGGGCCTAAACTGGAAGCATTTTGATGGTGCCTGGCCCTCTGTCTATACTTCTCATGCACACTTAATGATTTTTGTTTTCCCCAGAGCAACTATTTTTTATTCTTTTCTTTCCACCAAAATATTTGTGACCTTGGCAAATGCCTGCAGAATTTCACCATCTCTATAATTTTGGTGATGTAAATAGTTATCATGATTATGGCAATATTCCAAAGCGATGTGGTTTGGGGGTTTAACATTCATCAGTTTGAGATAATGGAACAAGAAACAGGTTTACTTTGGCTGTGTGGGCTGGGATTGGCTACCAAATGTATGTCCCATGTGACCTCAGTCTATTTGGTATCTTTTTATTTTATCAATCACTCGGTTCTGAATGTAATGAAGGTATTTCTCTCTTTGCAAGTATGTTTCCTGATGTTATTAGAACTGTAGATTTTAGAGACCGCATGTCCATGGGCCACACGCCTCAGGAGGGATCATTAAGAGCATTTGCTTGAGTTCGGTGCACACGTGGTTAAAGAGGAAGAAGGTGTTAACATTTCTCAAATGAGTTCTGTTTCATGTTTGTACACACATGCTCTTTTTAAAAATTCTGCTGGCATATTGTTTAGGGTGGGTACTGGCAAACATCACATCTGCTTGCATCTTGCTCAGAATCTCAATAACTCTATCATTCAGCCCTGGTGCTTATTTCTCTTCTAGGCTTTTGTGGAGAGTCGATAATGCCTGCCATCTGCCGCAGAGCACATCGCTACCTGCCAACAGGCAGGCTGCAGTGACCTCTGCTTCCCCACCACTGATTAGTATTCGCACACTCGCTTATTAGGAATGACCCCTCTAGGCCTCTCTGTTTCTTTGCCTTTGCAGCGCCTGGCGGCTCACCTGGCAGGCACGGCAGTGAAGGAAGCTAAAGTCAGGGATGCAGGCAGGCTTTACAAACCAGATGGCGTCCATCGTCTGTGGCAGGGGACTGGACTGCTAATGCACACATTGATTCCTGATACTGTAATGGGCTGCCTTGCGGAAAGCACCTCAGGAAGCACCGTCAGGGTTCTGAGTTAAACCCACCCCGGTGTAATATATAAAAGATATTTCTTAGAAGAATATCTGAAAGTTTTGACAATTTTATTAAGAATAATTGGAAGGAGATTCTTATGACATGTTCATAAAAGGGGAGCAGATAAATGCAGGCCTTTCAAACTGTACAAACCACTTTATTTCAAGTGTATCTTAAGGGAATTTAGAAAAAAATGAGCTAGTAGATATGCCTTTAGTGAATGGACCAATATTTACACAAAACTTTTTGTGTGCTTATTCACTTACAGGTTTGTAAATTGGTGAAATTCTGTGTATTCAAAATATAATATGATTTCTTTTGGTCAAAATCCAAATTTTTATTGGCAAAAAGGAATCTGAGTTCTTTCTGTGTGTTAGTGTTTATGTAGAAACGAAATGGTTAGGTTTATGTACCTGTCCATTAGATAGTTGAGATTGAAAATTAAAGTTATATTTGATTATCATTTAATTTTACATTTTCTATTTTAAATAGCCATATCAAAGAGGAATTGAGTATAACTTGCTCAGTGTTGAGAGTGACACTGAACCAAGTATTAGAGATTTCACCATTCCCTAAAGTTATCATATCAAACTTGGTCTTCTACCCAAACAAATCAATGTGTGCCTAGAAATGACTTTTCTCTGTTTGACAGAAGATGGAATTATAGATATATTAAAGGCTGATACAAAGGCAGTGTGGGAGTTTGTGGCAGATCTCAGCTGTTCAATTCATCTCAGGAGGTTAATTTGGGAAAGAATAGCAAAGCCACCTTCACCCTAGCTTAGGTAGGGGCCTCAGGTGGCCATTGACTATCATAATAATTTTTAAAAAGTGCACATTTATCAGACATTATATGCCAGAATATTCTAAATGTTTTATGTGTAGCAACTCATTTAATCTTCACAACAGGCTTGTAGGATAGGCATTACTATCCCCTTTTTACAGATGAGCAAACAGGCACAGAGAGGTTAAATAAGTTACTCAAAGTCACACACGGTTTAAAAAATCAGGCATTCTGGAGCCAGAGCCTGCTTTCTTAAAACACACATGTACCCAGTATACCTACATGTGTACTTTCATTAAGCAATTTGCATGAATAAGTTCTCTCATTTGGGTGAGATAACCGTCATGGAGATTTCTATAGTTTCATATAATCCCCTTAAAAAATGCAAAATGCCTTGAAAACAGAATTCAAATGAGGACATGCCATATTATGTAAACTGCAAATTGAGTTGGAATATGTGGTTCTTCTGGACTTGTTTTCAGGTAAGAAGTCCATACTTTTTCAAAGTTTATAAGTAACATTCAAATAGATCGTCATCACAAACATTAGGGTTTCCACTATTAAAGTAGCACTGCTGTTTTCTGCCATTGGAGGTTGCCTATTAACAGGAATCACCTGCATTTTTTTTTTTCAGAATAAGTGGGTAAGCCGCAGCCCCATGCTGCAGAGAAGGGTCTACCATTCCATGGCGGCCGTCCACAGGAAGCTCTATGTTCTTGGAGGCAATGACCTAGACTACAACAATGACCGGATCCTTGTGAGGCATATAGATTCTTACAATATAGACACTGACCAGTGGACGCGCTGTCATTTCAATCTGTTGACTGGCAAGTACCTTTGATTAAGTCAATCAGGAAAAGCAGAGATTTAAGAAACTGCCACACTTGTCCTCTTAGACATCTTCAGTGCATTTCTAAATATTAAGGTATGGTGCTGGTAGAGCAACTTGCTTTTATTAACCAGGAAGGTGCACATGACTTACCTCACAAAACTCGACTCGATTGTGGCTGAGCGTCTGGTTTCTCAGGGCCTGTGTTAGCTTTGTGTGTTCTGAGAGAGGCATGTCAAGTCCGTTACTGTCAATCAGTATTTACAGCAGCAACTTTGATACATAAAATTAGGAGGAACCGGGAGCCGAAGGAATTAGCCACCTTACAGAAAGCTGTTTTTTTACTCTCTTAGTCCTCTTATTTCTTACGAGTTCAGGAGAACAGTCTTCATTATTTGTCCCTGTTGAATACTGTTATGAGCTGTATGTTCCTATAAACTAAACCTTAGAGTAGTTCTGTGCATGGAGGTCGGGTGGCATTTCTGGCCTCACATACCCTCCAAGCATTACTGTAGGCAGCACTAGGTGTAGACCATCCTCATCTGAAAGGGAATGAAAACAAAGCAGTGAGCAACTCACCTTTCTTCACGGAGCTGAAAACTGTCTCCTTTGTCAGCCCACATTATTAACATCCACAAGTGATCAGAGCCCGCCCAGGCTGCCCTACTAATCGGAAAACCACTAACTCAAGTGGTGGCCTGGACTAGTGCCTTAAGACAGTTTAATGCACCGAGTGGGCACTCAGCCACTCACAGCTGCTGCCGGGGAGATGCCGTTGAGGGCAGAACATTGGTTCTGGAGGTTTGGAAGCTTTGTAGGGAGCTCCTGTTTATGGAAATGATCTTTGAGGCTCACCGACAAGTACTTAACTCTAAGTTGCTGTCGTGGTACCTCAGCCCCTTGGTCCCTGGATCTGTGATTCTGTCTGCTGTAGCATCTAGCTTATTTATTGCCCCAGTCAATCCTGTGTCAGACCATCAATAAAAAGAGACGACCTCACTCCCTGGTGGCCTCCAGGGATGAGTATGTGAGAGTGAGTTATTCTGTCTTCTTGTTTAAGTGGGGGAGGACCCTTTCAGCATTTTGGATGTCAGTATCTAGGGACTACCCAGGCTTGTCCCAGATCAAGAACTTTAATACAGTCTTAAAACTGTTGTGTATGAAAAGGGAGGGTAGTAACTTTATCAATCTTTTTTGCCATCTGTCTTCATTTAGGGCCTGCTAGGGGGATGGCTCAGTTTTATTGGCTTCTTGGGCTTGCAGCTGTTACTTTACAGATGTAAGCACTTGCCTTAAAAGCATTTGTAGGTACAAGAGGTGTTTTGCATTTCTAAAATATACCTTATTTTCACCACTAAAAATAAATGGCATATAATATCTTTTAGAACTTATTTCATTATGACTTCTTATTGCTGTATTTAATGTTGTGGTTCACTAACTTGGCTGGCTGGTAAGTGTACTGGTGAGTTTCTGACCTGGCACAGCTACATGCTCTGAGAAACAGTGGCTAATTCTTCCCTCTTGAGTACTGGAAGGCAGTGATTAGTTGCTGCAGAATCCTGTGGAGCATACACTTGTGCCCCAGGGGGAAGCTGGATGCCTCGGTGGCAAAAGGGTTAATTAAGACATGCAAAGAAATGGATTTGTTTTTTCTTTCAATTCTCTTTACTTTAGGCCAAAATGAATCTGGAGTTGCTGTCCATAATGAGAGAATATATTTAGTTGGTGGATATTCGATTTGGACAAATGAGCCTCTGGCTTGTATCCAGGTGAGTGGTTGAAGTTAGTTCAAGTGGGTCAGTGAGGTTACTTTCTGTAGTGCTGCTGAAGGGAGAGATACTTACATGTAGAAGGAGGCTCGAGTTCCCTTTGTGCGGCTAGTGCAGCTACTAAGCTTCATCCTGCTTCACGAAAGTGCCTGATAAATGATCGAGCACTATTGAAAATAAAGATGTTATGAGCTTTGCAAATATATGTAATATATTCCAGGAATGGAAAAAGTGGGAAACCTTTCCCTTTTTCCTAAGCCAGAAAAACTTAAGAAATCTTTGGGAATAGAAAATTTGGGAAATCTTTTATATCCCAAGACTTTGCAAATGCTTTCCTTCCACTCAATTGTTTTATTTTCTACATTGCAACTTGTTCATTTCCATAAATGCCACCTACCAAGTCGTTCTCCCTTCTTGGCAGAAGCTGGCAACAGTAGTTCATGATTGGCCTGAAGGGGGCGGCCCGGCATGTCAGCACGTGAGCGGTCCAGGCCGGGCTAGTTGCCAGCTAAGCTTTTCAGAACATCAGTGGCGTTTGTTGATATATATATATTCATTTTATCTTATTTTTACAATTCTTACCATGATTGCTTTTCTGTTTCACATGCTCTCTGATAATGTATTAGCATGTATTAGCCCTGACCTTTCTCCTGATCGCCTTGTAACTACTCACATTATCTAGTTATCATCTCTGTGGGAAGATTTTTAACAACTGCTTCAATATCTTTAGTAGTTAAAGGACTATTCAAGCTTTTAATTTTTTCTTCAGTCATGTCTCCTAAGGTATATGTATTTTTACAAGAAAGTCTTCCATATTGTCTAAGTTTTCAAAATTATAAGTATTTTGTTATCCTTAGTAATAACTTCCATTACAGTCATAATGTTGATTGTTGTTTCTTTTCTCTTGATTTGTCTTGCAAGACTTTTGGGGATTTTAACACACTTCTATTATTGATATAGATCAAGGAGATCTCAATCAGTAAGCACAGCATAGTGATGAACAACACAATTCACAAACTTGTCCCTAAAAGATGTGAATTCTGGATAGAACAGAGAAGATATGTTTCTCTTTCTTTTTAATTTTTATTGATATAACTGACATTTCATACTGTATTAGTTTAAGGTGTACAACAATGATTTCATGTATGTGTATATATAGCTAAGTGATCACTACAAAAGTTTTAACCTCTGTCACCTCGGAGTTACCAAAGTTTTTTTTCTCGTGGTGAGTTTTAAGCTCTACTCTCTTAGCAACTTTCAAATGTACAATTCAGTACTGTTACCTGTAGTCATTATGCTGTACATCACATCCCCAGACTTACCTTATAACTGAAGGTTTGTCTTTTGACCACCGTCACCCATTTCCCTCACCATTCACCCCTTACCTCTGGCAAGCACAGATTTGTTGTGTCTCTCTGAATTAAATTTTTTGATTCCACTTATAAGTGAAATCATGTTTGGATTTGTCTTTTTCTGACTTATTTCACCTAGCATAATGCCCTCGAAGGCCATCCAGGTTGTTGCAAATGGCAGGATTTCC